CACACCTGCGCGGCCAGCCCGCCTGCGTCGTGCTCCTCGGTGTCATTTTTCCCGAAACCGCGCCTTCGCGGCCAGCCCGTCTGAAAGCTTAAGTCATGCCTCGAACTCTCGTTACAACGTCCGACGCATAGCTTCTTTCCGGGGGGGGAATATGATGAGGATAGTAATTATGATAAGACTCGGCTGACGTCGGCCGACGCCTCACGCCTCGATCGACGCGACTGCGCTCAGTCAACCGAACCGGAACACCGGCCGAGGCGCATTAACGCCTACCCAGGCGCGGTTCTTCACGCCACGCTAGCGTCCATGTCAGACGTTATCAGCCTGCCTCCTGCAGACGGGCACATCAAACAGCAGTAAGCTTCCCTATAAATACCCTCTCGTTCATCAGAGAAGGGGGGGGGGGGGAGGGGAAAGAGAGCACTTCTTCACCTAAAACCCCCTCCACATCCACTAACTTGATCGTCGGAGGGGTCGGGCCGAGCTTCCGACTCGACTTGTGTGCAGGTGCAAGAACGGGGTCGCCTCTTCCCGGCGCTGCGGCAAAGCTTTCCTCCTGACGCAACGTCCCGATCGGACCACCGTAATCGGCCACCGGGAGATCTCGAGGGACGCTGCGCAAGTTCCCCGTCATTCGGACCCCCAACTAAGCCGCGTCGGCCCCGAGGCCACGGCATAAAGTTGTTTACACCAACAATTGTTACCATCAAGGTTCGTAATATCGTACCGTACCGGTATTTCGACCTGGGCTCGGTACCGGTACGGTACGGTATACCGAGCGGTACACCCAGGTGTACCGAGCGATACACCTGAGTGTACCGAGTACTGTAGCAGTGCTATAATAACTACTACGGTACCTCGGACCGGTAACCGTCGGTCCGCGTACCGAAAACCTATCGGACTGATACGTACCACCCGTACCGGGCGGTACGGCAAACCCTGGTTACCATCACTACTCTCTTTTTCTCTTTTTAGTGGCTGGGCTCTCGTTAGTTTAACGTTGGGTGCAGTGTTCGAGTACCACGAGGCGGAGCACAACGTGGTGGAGGTGACGCTGGCCGACTACCAGAGCTGCAGCGCCGCCAACCCCATCAGGGTCTACAGTACCGGCAAAGACACCATCAACATCTACCGAACCTCCCACCGCTTCTTCATCTGCGGCCGTGCGAAGGACTGCCAGGTCGGCCAGACGGTCAACATCAGGGTGCCCGAGGCAGCGACCTCGTCGCCGCCGCCTTCGGTTCCTCCATCCCATCCTCCCTACCCCACTCCTGCCAGCGGAAGCCCGGCATCGCAGCACGCGGGATGGTCTTCGGCGCTCGCTGCTGTCGTCTGCGCCACCGTCTTCTTTCTCGTGGGGTAAAAGTGTGAATTGATTCAAAAGTGTGTCTGCGCCACCGTCAGCATTGTGGAGGGCGGGCACGGCTGCCATCAAAAGAATACATAGTGGTAACATCTAAATGCTTATGGCAACCAGTGGGGTTCAAAGCTACCAGCAGTATTGCTGCTGCTGCTGCTGCTGGTAATTTGCCTGACCTTTTTGTTACCGACCTTCAGTAATTAATAGATCATTCTTTTCAGAAAACAAAAGGCTCATGGCAACAGCATCGAGTGAACAAAAATATTGGGCAACGTTTTCTACATACAATGCAGAATTTTAGAACCCTTTACCTCGCAGTAAGAATCAAATAATATAAACCTCTAGCTTATAGAAGCCTACATTTGTTCTCGGCAATCGGATGGCTGCAGACCATCACTCCCTAAAGTAAAGAAAGATGCAACGAGAGACCAAAATATCGACGTAAAGTATTACAAATTCAGAGTTAACCGGTATATTGCGCTCCTCTGCGTGAAGGTAGCATGTGTTATGCAAACAAAGAGAGTCTGTAAACCGTAAAAGCTTTTATTCTTGGTTGAGAAGACTATCAAGAAGAGGATGCTGAGATCTACAAAGCAACAAAAAAACATTTCTTAGCATATACAAGCAAAAGGCTATATGATATAAAAAACCTAAAATTTCTGCCTATAATTCCAATTTTCCTCGTGACCATATTTGCTTGCAAGGATAACACCACATATGTTAATCCACCTTGGATTTTCAATAATAGCAGGTTGATGCACTAAGTTGTCGATCAGATAAAATGGTTGATGCTTGGAAAGCAATGCTGAGGATTAACATGGCATGAAATACAATGATCATATAGAAGCCAAAAGAATGTTTCCAAGTGTTCTTTGCTTTCATACAACACAAGATTTATGATTGGTTTTTACACCCAAACTAAATCATATGACAAGTTTATCCGAAAAAGATATATTATTAAGATAAATATATTTGCTAGGATATATCTGAAAATTTATCTTACTTAAATCCCCTCTTTTCACTAACTCTTCCCAGGTTCTTTAAGCTTATCATGTTTAGGCTATCCTCCATAATTTAGCTTTGACCTAGTATCAATGTACAAATACCATGATGGACTCAAGTCTGGGTCCATGAAGGTGTAGCTTTTGTGGTGTGCATACCATGACAGGATGATCAAATCCAAAGCTAGGTTGGCACGAGCACATAGGCACTTTCCCAGAATCCAAGACCATGTTGGCACAACCATGTGGTCCAGTTTGGCCCAAATCCAAGGTCGTGTTGGTGTGAGCACATTAGCTAAAAGAGTGTGAGCACATTAGCTAAAAGAGCCCAGTATGACTCTGGCTAGGCATGGATGTAACCTCAGCTACCTGGCTTGGCCTTCCCCCCTCTAACGAACTCATCTCCCTCTTTCGGCTCCCCCTCACCTCAATTGACTGTCATGAGTGTCCTATCATCGTCTTCCTCTCAATCAACCCTACCTCCACCTCCTCCCAACCTCCCTTTCCTAGATGCTGCCATCACCACTTCATCCTTCTCTTCAGAACAACCCACCCCAACCTCCCCTTCACCTCCTTTGGTCACTACCTCCTCTCAACTATCCCTCTTCCACTACCTCCTTTGGCAGCCTCAACAGAGGAGTCTGTCCTAAGCCAGTCTGGCCCAATTCATGTTACATTTCAAGGCTGTAGACATACCGTGCCTACTTCTCCAAAAACTCAAAAGTTTGAGCCTGCCTTATCTCATATCTTATCCTGTATCCATATTTGTGCTTCATAGGATAGCAGTAACTTGGTGATTCTTGATTGATAACAAAACATAACAGTCAAAACTTGAGGCAAAAAAATGGGAAACCAAAATTTTGAAGCATGGATCAACTAAGGTGAAGCCACGTCAAGACCTTACACTAGTTGATTGAAGTTCCGTCGTTGCTGAATGATCTCTTTCCTGCAATTCAACACGGGAAGTTTTAAAAACGTGTTCTAGATATAGATACAAATAGCAAGTGTTCTCACAAATAACAAAATCTTTCAGCTGACTACCTCAAGTAATAAATCCTTCCTGGTAATTAAACCTATAACACGGGAAGGACGAGGAACGACAAATATATGCCTCAGTCCTAACTGCCGGAAAAGATTGTACACCTGCCATAGGTAAGATATATCATATAACATGCTAATCACCAAAGATGATATATGAATAAGAAGCTAATCACCTTCCAAAATGAACTGAAGTAAATTTCATTTACCTTTGCCAAAGACATATCCTCTGGCACAATATAGGGAGAAGGGTTTAGAAAAGGGGCAAGATCTAAGTAGAGCTCAAGTTCATCCTCAGTCAGATGAATTTCCTCAATAGACATTCCTTTACTTGAGACAGGTTTGACAAAATCACTGAAGTTGTGTCTACAAAAGGAAAAGAAGTAAACCATCATTTTATTGCAAAGTAGCCAAAGCATCTGAAGTAGAGGTTAAAAAAAAGTACATGCCTGTTGATTCCCCTCATATCGCAAGGAAAAGGACTGTTCTGAAAATCCATCTTGGACTGTAGTAGTACTAATAAATGACTGGAAAATCAAGAGATATACATCAACTGAGCCACACTATTTAAGCAGTTTTTTCATGAAGTTTGCCCATGACTGATGCATGATATACCTGCGAAGAATGAGACCAATGACGAGTGTCTCTCCATTCTGCCCCTGATCTACTACCTGGATAAAAGCATATAAAATGAACTGCAATAACATAATAACAAGCAAACTTAGTTCAGAATAACACAATTCACTAGAGTTCTGACTCACAGGGTAGCCATTGTGCTTGTTGCTACGTAACACAGAGACAATGTTCCCAACTTTAACAACACGAGGGAAGGATACGACCTTTCATCATAAGGGAAGTCATACGTCAAATAAAAAGCTGAATAAAAGCCTGCGGCTATATTTTTCTTAAGCCTAATGACAAGTAGAACCTTTTGATTCTTGCTTGCCTCCTTGGCTGTCATGTTACGCATATAAAGTTTTGGCCTCGATTCAAGCAGAGGAATGCCTCTCAATTGGGCTTGCTCTTCATATAGACCTTTATTAAAAAAATCACCAACAGCCTGGGAGAAAAAATATCAGTACCATCACTAAATTCAATATGCTTAATTAAGAATAACATTACCCATATACCTTTGATATTAGAAGAACAAGCATGATAAGGGGTAACAGCTTCAAGTTATTTGTGATTTCAACCATAATCACACATAAAGAAACGGTCATTCGCATAGAACCACCAAGAAATGAAGCAGCACCAAGTAGAGCGTACCTGAAAAAGGAGCCAAATATCAAGAGCGAAGAGGGAAAAAAGTACATAAACAATTATGTGGATGCATTGAAGCAATTGATTAATAAATTGTTGAGAGTGCAACAATCATGGCTTGGACCATCCTATTCAAGCTTGTAAAGGAATAAACATTGTTGAAGTTCACTGGAGAGACCTGATGATCAACAACTGTTGATTCATAATCAGAAATGTCCAACTATTAAACTGCAGAGAACAAGGCCAATGATTTCCTAGGTGGTTCTGGTCAAAAATTAGTATGAAAATCCAATACTTTTCCCATGCTTGGAGATGATCAAAATCAAGTAAATAAATGCTTTAGAAAAACTCAGAAAAATTGCAGAGTTGAACCAGACACCTGAGAGTTTGACTGCAATAAGATCCATAAATCTTGAGGATCAAATGTATCTCATAATCAATACCATCATGTGGACAACTGTAATGACCCAGTTCGATGGGATGACTAGTCCATTAACTTAGCCTTAACCAGGCCTAGTTCGTAGTAGTGGACCCACCTATCCTTATAAATTACCTCAAACCTCCTCCTACATCCAATGATCAAATAAGAGTGTTATAATTTTCCAATTTAAAATTTGATATCCTCATCAAAGCATAGTTCACAAGCTAGAAATGAGCTGAGGTGTGGCATAGTAGTAACCTATCTAGCTGTACAAATTGACTCAATTCTTCTCCCATATCAGATGTGGGACTAAACAAGGATATTTCAATCTTCCCCCTTTAAGGCTTGATATCCTCATCAAAGCATAATTTGTAAGCCAGAATAAAGCTGATATGTGACTCCATATCACAATGTGTCCCAGGCCTCATCCACGAATAGGTTTTTCCTACTTAAACCTTTGACCATATCCAATATTAGATTCACTTTGATATCATTTGTCACAATCTAACCAGATGAGATAACTAACTTGTTAAATTGATAGGCTTAAACCACTAACCTAAACTGTTTAAGTGGGGTCAACTGGGACGTTATAGCAACTAAGTGAATAATAAAATCTCACACAAATTGATTTAATTCTAAGCTCACATTCAATGTGGGGTCAACTAGGATGTTATAGCACCTAAGTGAATAATAAAATCTCACATTAATTTTACTTATTGGTCTTAGCAAACTATGAAAATTTAGGGAACCAAGTACTAGGACAGATGTGCTGCATCACTAGCCTACATTGATTCCTTTTTCATGTCTAAAAATTCTAAAGTATCTAGCAAAATTTGGAATATTATTTGAAGAGGGCTAAGATCAAATAATGAATACCCACTGTTTCATTAAATAGTTTATGTGCATATAACTTATCCACATCGGCATCAGCTAAGTGGATCAAAGTTGGAGCATCAATGGAAGCCAGAGTGAGCCAAGAAAAAGCACACTCTTACCCTTTTGTCGCATGGAAGGGTCTTGAATGTATATTCTTCTAGAAATAGCAAAAAAAAGGAGAGAAAAATGAACAAAATATCAGGGAAGTTTATGACTGTCAAAAATATTAAGGAAAAGTTTTCACTATATTTTTATTTTTCGAGACTAATGAAAATGGATCCTCATGCTTTTCTTCATTTATTTAATATATGTTTTCCTTGAGCTTGAGGATCTCCGCACATTGTCTTTATCAATAGACTAGGAAACCTTTCTGTTCTCTTCTTGCTAGTTTCTGCATCAAATCTTCCATATTGTTTTCAGGTCTCATCTCTATTACATGTATTGGTCCTTTCTAGGGCTTTGTCTACATCACAATGACATATATAGTACTTTCAATGAAAAAATATTTGCCATCAAAATCTCAAATGGAGAAGCTTTTGAAAAAGAAATGTTCTTGAAACAGAGGAAAATAAATGCTGAAAAGATGCAGAACTTACGTTCCCTCCTCAACATTAAGCTTTCTGTAAAATTTCACCACAAGCATTCCAACAAGACGTCCATAAGTTGATCCAATCATTATTCCAGGGACAAATTGGCCAGCCGGAACAGCAGTCCCAAATGTCACCACTGCTAAGGAATAAAACATTACCTGAAAATAGCAGTAGTATAAGAAACAAGCAAATATGTATAAGATGTGCAATAAGTCGAGAATAGGTTGTGGATAAGAAGTCACACCAGAAGAATAGTATAAACCACACAACATCCATTTAACCAAGGATAACAACACCAGATTAAATTCTTCAACAAGTAGGCTCCTACCCCAAAAAGGTGGGTCTTCTCAAACGAATATATAACATTCATGTTACAAGTAAAGACTAAACTAAACATTTTAGTTTAAACCAAACAATTCACTTAAATAAATGATCAAATAAAAAAGAATAATGTAAATACAAGTTGATGTTTCTTTCTATGGGATAACAACATTTGTAAAATACAGACGAGAAACATAGAACGTAATGGAAAATCACGAGTATCAGGACCAAGAACTAGTTAGCTTTGGTGCAGACAATGTTGTAAGGCAACAAGAAATTAAGAGTAAATGGAAACAGTTGATTGACAATCATATATACAATGAACAGTTGTTGTGGGGAAATGTAGACTAATCAAACTTATTCATTTTTCTAACCTGAAAAAATTATTTTAAATTTTAAAATGTCAAGTCAACAGACAGGAGGAAAATTTAAAAAGGAAGCAACAAATCCACACTGAAAGAAAATAACTGAAATCAGACAAATGGAACTCGAATATTGGTATCACTTAAGTGTAATAATTAAGAAGGGTTATATATACCGTGTTAATTGCATATTTGCTTCTCCAACTCATCAATTTGCATATAAACTCAAGAAAACCAAATTTATTTACATCGGCTATTTTGTGGATAATAGATATACTGACAATTTTAAGATGTCTGAGGTCATGCAAAGTGACAAAGTACATATGTGCTTATCTTGCAAGATTCTCATATGGCGAGGATGAAAAAGAGGAAGAATGGATGACAAGGATAAAATTGCACTAATGTCCTAAGATTGAATCCCTGTAACAATGGTTACATCGATAAAATGAGGGGTTACAAGATAGGTTTGTTGCTTGGATTTCGTGTAACCTTGGTTTAGTTAGAAAAATACTTTGTTAATGGACAAACTATGACAGTAGGGTACTGGTGCAAATGAATTTGGTTTTTGGAGACATGCATGCAGATTTGTAGGGCGTGAATACACAAATTGACCCATTGTAAAGGGGCATAGTTTGAGAGTCTGTTCTAGATTGTCCATAGACTCCATAAGCCCAGACTACCAAAATTAAGACTGTACAAAACCTGTATGGTTCTGTCTTGCTAATAAAATCAGGTCTATATTAAATTATTAAGACTTCTCCATAGAAATTTTATATGCACAGCCATTGTGATGCAGCCAGGTTTTCAATCTACTCCAACAGTACTTGACTTAGGTCAAGATTTAGTCATGTCAGGTCTACAATTACGTTCCCTTTTATTCTTTTTGTATTTTAGGCCTTATTTTTTAGTAGGTAAAGAGAAGTCTGATTTGCTAGACTAGGGTCTAAATTACCTGTTCATAAAGTGTTGTATTACCATGATTTTCTATTTTCAGTTTGATTTGTGTTTTATATGGGTTTAAGATAATTAAGTTCAGCTTTAGAGTAAAATTAAGATTAGCTGGTATGGTTAAAGATGAGAGTCCATAGATCACAATAGTCTTAACCACAGTAATTCTGTTAATGTAATATCTAATGATACCTAATATAACTCTAGATAACTCCAGACTGCATCAAATTACCTTTCCTGAAAGGTAAAAACTAGTATGGAATACAACAAATTGATTCTAGGAAAACAAAAGGTTGCATTATTAGGTGACAACCAAGGAAATTATGTTATTTATTTTCAAAATCTAAAATGTATACAAAAAAGAGGCTAAAGATATTAGTCATTGAATGAATAATGTGATACAATCTATTTATACAATGTCATAAATCAGACTGAATAATATGATAAAATACAATACCAAAAAAATGACAAGGCTTTGAGCACTGTACTCGTGGAACGTTTTTGCACTAAATAAATTGCGTATTGCATCATCCTGCAGCAGAAATGTCATGATGTCAAAGACAAGAAACCAGCTTCCATAAAAGTGCTTTATATAATAAGAATTGTTGTATTCTGCTAACATCACCTGTGTATTGAAGAAAATTGTCGCCAGATCATTATATTCACTATCCTTAGCACAGTAAAACTGCATGTTCAATAGTGGAATGAAGTTTATAGATACAACAGATAAAAAGAAATACTTACCAGAATAGAGAGGCCAGACTACAATATGGTAATGGTACTTTATATTATAATAAAAAAATAAAAGAAATGTGATAGAAATCTCACATTCACAAAGTTTCCATCTGTCCCAGGTGGACGAGGGCATTCAATACCAGGACTCATCTCCGAATCAGGGCATGCACTGCATCTTCTCAGAAGTGGCAATCCAAATGAAATAACTGAGGTTACCAGGGATATAATGCAAACTTCCAAAATCTGTGACAATGAGCATAACATTTTAACATCAAGCTCACAAACATGAGCTTAACTTTGCATTGGAGCAATAGAGATTCCAGAAGAAATGTTATTGCCAAATGCCAATATCAACATGAACCTGTAATCTACCTTGATTCTATTTCCCTTCTTATGCAAATATTTTCGCCGCCAACTTGTTATAAAAAGAGTAAGCTGATTAAACAAGGCTCCTGTAGAATTAAAAAACGTGGAAGGGTAGTTTGAGCATAGAACCAATTACTGCAACTGGATATGCTATACAAAAAATAGAAATGTAGTTTGGGAGATCCAAGGCTATTGAAAACGCACCAAGAAGACCACCAATAACCCCAATAATTGCCATAGGCAGTAATTCCTGAAAAGAGTAGTCTTCTTGACCACTTCAGAACAAGCATTTATCAGAATTCAGGGTTCAGTCCACATCAAGAGTTCTGTGAGCAGAAAGTGGCAGTGGCCAATAGATAGAATGCTAACCCTGATATGTCCCAGATAATGAAGCCACCAGAACCAAAATGTCCACATTTCCCACTCTTGCACCAGTTCATTGCAGATCTTACCACCACAGCCACAACAGCAGATGTAAAGAACACTCTCCACATAAGCTGGCTTCTCCACCTTTAGGGGAAAATAAGACCAGGAAACATAATATATGTATAATTGCTTACAACAGAAAGGAAAGCCCCTCAGTAATGAACAATGAAACAAAACAGAATTTCATATTGATTTAAATAGAACTCACCAAACAAAGATATAAACTACCATTAATTGATAAACTATATGAATATGTGTCCATTTCTTAATAAACTTTGTCCAGGTATCTACCTGAGGTTAGAGCGAGAGAGAGAGAGAGAGAGAGAGAGAATCAACAGCCAATTTTATCTTGAACGTTCGTCTATAAGCACCAAAACTTAAAATTGATGTTGACACCACTATGACAACTCTGTATTCCTGTGCATTTGAAAGTCTCAAGTAATATAAGAATCTAACAATTCGATATGTGCATCCATGCAATAATAAAAACTAAAATTAAAGTGTAGAAATCAAAAGTCTTTTATTCAATCGAACTTTAAAAAGGTGACCTAGTGCACAAGTTCTTCATGAATGTGGAGTTTAGGGTTAATGTATGTAGCCTTACCTATGCAAACAAATAGCTATTTCAGTGATCCAAATGTGTTTGCTGAGGTCCCAGGGGAGCAAACTCACCATTGTGCCAATTTTACACATTACAAACTTTTATTAAAAAATTCCAATAAAATGACTTCTTCAAATGACAATTCGTCTGCACATAGCTATATTATGATATTTGCTTTGATGCTGTATTTCAGATATAGCCAACATCTAACCTACACTATAATTCAGGCAAGACTTTTGTTCAGTCCACATTTTCACAGTGCTCAACCCCTCGTAGGAATCTTAAGTTCGTACTCGTTCTAAGTGACTATGGTATGCATCCACAAGTAATTGCATCTGACTCAAAAGTCATTCGTATACATTACAGAGCAAAGTTACATTGTAAAAATATTTATAGGTCAAATTGTAAAGAAACAAAAATCAGACTGATCATTAAAAGTTGGATTGTTTCTATCATAGAAATAGAATACTGTGCATCCACATAACTGTGGCAAAGAAGAAAAGAATAGTCATTAGCATTAAACTAATAGATAATAAGAAAGACATTAGCTTAATCACCATGATGTAACTTCTTCCAGGGCAAAGAGTACACCACCAACTGGAGCTCGAAAAGCAGCAGCAACCCCAGCTGCACATCCGCAGGTCACCTTTTAAAAAATTTAGCAAAAGTCATAAACCTATTGCAAAAAGAAATGTAATCTAGATGAACCAAACTTGCAAACGATAAACAATAGGTACAAGTACAAAGAAAAGCACCTCTCCTCGAGAACAACACTAGCAAGAAACAGTTATTATATGTAATCTGGGGAACAATTTTCTTATCCATCCAATACTACAAAAGCTAGATCAAAAGCCAAATCATATCAGTAGCCATGCAACCAAGTTTAAACTATCTTTTCAGCCCAGTAGAGGAATGGACTTGTCTAAGAATGGCACTTGGAAAACAGTCAATTGCTGAAAGTGTGAGGCAGTATAGAGGTGAGGAAGGAGGGCTTTATAGCTTGGCGGGTACAATCTCCTCAGACAACACTAGTATCATGTCAAATAATCAACTATTCCATTTTGCATAGCATTGTCCATGTTCTAGACTCCATACTCCAATAACACAAGTAAACAAGATGTTGAATATCGGTGTGATACCGGTTTCCACACATTGTCAAACCAGTACGATAAAATATTCCTGGGCAGTATACCAACATGTACCACAAATCTCATTGAAAAAACAATAAAATAAACACTAACCAGTACCAAGACATGTGGTCCGGTACCAGTCCTTCGACAAGTATTTGTAACCGTGCAAGTAATAATCAAATGCCTAGAGCAACATGAATGGCAGCATCAGTACAACATTTATGGAGTAGATCCACATTACCTCACTCAAACAAACATCTGGCAATAAGCATCATGATAAGAATTAGTTGTCCAAGTGAAATTTAGAGGACAAGAAGACTGCTGGTCACATAGAAACAGCAGATGGTAGCAAAAATTTGACACATTTTAGCACATAGACATGGTAACCTGTCAAAAATCTTTTCAATTTTTACAATTACATGCTCGACTTCACTAACATGCACACATGAAAGGGGTTGGGAGGAAAGAAAGAGTCAAGATTTATGTATGTGTGCCCATTTATATTGAGATATTTGTTTCATTGCCACCATTACTATGACATAGCTGCCAATAAGTTCTACAGACCTATTTTTCAACACCATTCATTTTTCTTGACAAATATGAAACTGACACCTCAGAACAAGGTGAGATTTGTCCAGCAGTCAGGTTGCTTCACTGCAACACTAGATTATGGTTCAGATGATTCATAGCATCTCACCACAAATGAGGACAAGAGTGTACATGTTTCAGCCACCAAACACCCTGCCTTTGAAATGATGGGCATTTAGTTTTTTATTACATCTTGATTCCAATATATAACATTCCCATGCTAAACAAAGTTGAAGAACACACAGAAAGCAACTGAAATTCTATGTCATATGTAAAAACAGGATGAAACCAATGCGAGCTAAGGTCAACATAGTACAACAATAAAGGAATAACTGTAGGTAATTATATATAGTAGAGAGATTTTAAGAAAGGAAACAAAAACGAATATTGTCAATATCAAACACTTATATACAGCAGATGAGATAGTTGAACATTTCTGTGACAGCATGGCTTCATGAGATTTCTTTTTCTTTTGACTTCCAGTTAGATGTGGAATTTTCTTGGGCCAAAGAACACCTATATTTAATATATAATATAACATAAACACAACTGGGTCCTATCCTAATGGTTGATCTCTTTCTTCAAATTGAAGAGGTCTTTGTTTTGACTCCCTATGACGGTGGCAGCCATGTGTATGGTCGTGGTAATTCTATACGTGTGATGGATCTCCCCTTCTGTTTTCTTACATATGTAGGTGTGTTTGTGTATGTGAGTTTGAAGTGTAATACATAAACCAATGTGTACATATGAGTTTAATGTGTGTGTATATAAATATATAAATACATATATATATGACTGTGTATACAAATATATATATACATATATGTGTGTGTATAATGCAGGATCTATTAATAAAACAAAATGATTAAAACATGAAAATTTTGAATCAATCAAGCTATAAAGGTACTAGGTACTAGCAACATAAGAACGCCAATATGGAGTACAATGTATCCCATTAACACATAGTATAGCTGACAGAGAACATAGGCAACGTACAAGATCACGCCGATCACGGTCACTCTCAAAGACACGTACCCACTTGGAACTTAAGTGGTATCTTTTGGATCCACCCTACAGAAATTCAAAAGAGAATGAAATTAAGATGATTAAATAGTCTCATAAATGGTGATAATGTTGTTAATATATGGAGATCAAGTTGCATGGAATAATGATATAATGGAGGCAGAGATCAGTCGAGAATCTACTCAAATTGAAGTTTTCAGATAAAGCATAACAGGAAAATCACAGGATAGAAAGTTGAATTTGAACTGTTAAAGTCAAATTTTGGTATGTTACAGAGGTTGATCAGATGCCCTTATGCAATGAGATCAATCTTTTCATGATTGCATGTCATTATACTGAAATACAAATGTTGGTGAAAAGGTTTCAACATTGAAGACATGCATAAATCAACAATTATAAATACATAGATAACAAAAACTACTGCTATCACAGAATGCATAAGTAGTCCCAATCAAGGTTGACAAGACAACCAAGTGTTCCTAGGTACTGAAGTCCTTAAATGCCTAGATGTTTTACGAGGATCACAAATAAGTTGATCGAATTTTCAAGTATTAATAAAATAAAGAGACCAAAATAACAGTAAATACGACATATGTCCACCAATTTTACTTAAGTACAGACATATAAATAATCACACAACCTACAGCCAGGAAAAGCAAAACTTGGTCAATAGATTAATACAAAGTAAATAAATGTATTTTACTCCAACAAACTAAAATAAGATCAAAACTCCTAATAGTTATTCAAATTTAATTTTTTGGCACTATTGTTGGGTATAAAATAAGCTATTGCTGGAAGTTTAAAGTCACAATAGCTAACAGGAAGGGATTCAAGAGTAGGTGTGACAAACAAGGCTAAAGAATATGATGAACTTGAAAAGTCAAATTTAACGCAAGTATGTTGTATCGCGCCTTCATTTACGGCCTAAATATGTTAAAGGTTTTACGTTAACTTGCATACATCAGGCTGAATTATTCACTGAATCCACTTCAGCACATAGTTACTGATAACATTACCTCTTGTCATAAGTTACAAGTTACAACCAACCTAAAACTATTGCATCTAGCCTACCTTTAAATTAAGATTGATATGTATACCCTTAAAATATTGAAGAGCACTTACCTAAGCAATGTTAAAATGAATAAAAAAGCTTCCATTATGTTTTCTTATGTTCCTTATGTTGGCATTAAGACCCACATTAGTGCTTGGGCTGCCTATGCAGCAACATGACAAAGCATAAGATTTTCCACACATACCTATATGTATTTTCTCATTCACTTGTAGTGACTGACTGCAAAGATGGGCACAACTCCCTCTAGTTGGACAGATTGCAACATGAATTTTTTTGTAAGTAAAATAGCATAATTCAAACAGAACATCAACATGAGAGCAGAAGATGACAATTGTGAAAGGCATGTCATGGTTGCCATTCTTGTCTGAAACTTTTGAGAACAGAAATGTCTTCATTTTCAGAAGTTTGTAGAGAAAAACATAGTCAAATTCCTACAATAAGAAACAGAAATGTTATTCCCAAACAGATTATTATGTCTGTTTTCATGCTTCTATTATACAGGAGCAATTTAGAAACCCCATTTAATTGCTTACTTATGTTCAATCTAAGAATAGAATAAGAAAAATGAAGATCTCACTCAAGTTCCATGAGAACCAAATTATATCATACACTGTTCTCAATATTGGACAAGTATTGTCTCAAAAAAATAGTATTGAAAAAGTAGGTATACACCCATTCATATATGCCTTGAAACATATAATTAAATAATCGAAATGAAGATGTTCTTTCATTCAAACCAATGGCAATGTAAAAGCCAAAATGACAAAGTCATCATGCTCTCTATACCTACCAAAAGTAGGTTGATCTCATAATCATCTTGAATATCCAATTAGTTCTTTGCTTCCCTTTGCAGGCTCTTATGGTTTTGCCATACGCTTTTTTCCACTGACCCAAATATTTCACACTGGAATTTAGCTCCCATGTCTAGGTAAAAATCTTAATTGATCAAGCTACCAACCTCTCTAAGTTTGTAAAATACATGTATCAAGTTCACTTCAATAAACTAACTATTTCAAGCTCCTTTCGTGTCTATAAACTGCACTACAAAGAGTCCTCTAAACATCAGAAAGAATCAAAAAGATGGTACCTCAATTAAGATGCTAAAACAACCACCGTGTTGAATGGAATTATTAACATATATACCAAATTCTACCTCAAACATTTCTTCTCATTATCCATAAAATAATTGATCACAATAACTCCTGCAATGCTGCTCCGCCTTTCAGAAATTGTGCTTTTCTGACAAAAAATTGCTTCTTCCTCGTGAGAAGTATTGTTTTAAGGATATCGCAAGTTATAGATTTGCATGGTTTCTACTGGTTTGACAAATGGTATTTTACTTGCCAGGTGAAGTAGTCTAAAACTCTAAATGATATCTTTTCCCTTGCCAGGTGCCCATTCTCCTGCAATTTGTATGTGTCATAGATTGTCATACCGAGCCATATAACTGAAGTATACCATAGTGCAAGTACCAATCTAGTGTTTCATGTCCTCCTAGGGCTTACTAATACACCCTTAGCTACATGATTGGTTATACTGGCTGACAACAGCTCGTGCCAAACTTTGCAACCATTAGATGTTCCTACCATGGAGTACGCATACATGCTTATCATTAGAGAAATGTGGTAAAAGTAACACCAACTCAGAAAAGGTCAAGCCGACTTGTTCATCCTTTCTATTGTCTTTGCTGTATCTTGATCCAAAAACAAATAGTATCCCATTTGTCAATGTGTTTTTCTGTTACAAAAGGACTTATACTTTCATGAAAGATTTCAATACCAGCTAAAACATACAGTTCAAAACCAAACAATTTTGTTTCGGTCAATTCAACTACATACCACCCTGATGCTATAGCTTTGACCAATGTAAGCTATAAACAAATATCTTTTTTCTCCCCCTCTATTCCTTGTGTCCATGCAAGTTCCCAGCTCAATGCCTCAATCATCTGCACTTGCCTTCCTGACCTCATTGCCTCATTACCTACTAGATCCCACTGTTATCTGGCCACTTCCCATCAAGGTGACCTATAGTGAAGGTTTAGACATCATTTGCACACACTGTCCTGCCAAATCTCAATCTTTTTCACTGATATTGGCCCTTTTTCTCAGGACATGACTGATCCTAGCCTCCTAGTGATCAGCATCAACCAAAAAGGGAACCATCAGCCCACTTAAGATCATCAGAATATGTGCTTGCTGCCTCAACCATAACTTTGCCTATGTATGCTTATTGGTAATTGTAAAGCAAAAATGCCACAGCTCCAGTAAGGTACCTTTATGAGCTTCATTTCTGGTAACCATATGCATCATGTTTTCATAAACATAAAAGTTTAAGTTCAAGGAAGGATGCAATTTATGTAATCAATATGCAACAATTTACAATACAATTTTCTAAACAAAATGAGTAGACTAGGAAAGTTATTTTAAGTAAAACTTCAAAAGGTTAATAAAACAAGTTAATATTTGATATTAATAAAAAAATTAATATTTGATATTAACAAAACAAGTTAATAAAATTAGCCTTTAAAGTAGCAACCCCGTACCTGTCCAAGAAGAGATGCAATACAAGCACCAGTATGCACAAGGGGTCCTTCTTTACCCAGAGCAAGCCCACCACCAACAGAGCCAATGCTTCCAAAAACCTAGAGGTAAAAACTTCAATAATACCTCACTGAAAACAGCAGACAAGAAATATGCAAATCCAAAACAAACCTTCCCAATCAATGTTCTAAAAAGAAGGATTCCAGGTGTGTCCACTCCTGCATATATTTCAGTTGGTACAACATCGACCATCAAAAGAAGACACATACCAATTTGAAAGTTAGGTAATGCTTACCATTCAAGTAACCCTTAATCTCAGGTATACCAGATCCTGCTGCAGCTGGTGCAAACTTTGTTACAATATAGACGGAAGAAAAGACCAGACCCAAATTGAATAATATGTACACCAAGAAACCCACAAAATATGAGTGCTGTATTATAGAGAAAGTTGCAGCATATTTCCAGCCTGAGAAGTTTTCGACGGCCAGATTAATGAACACAGCAGCCAAACCAGTACCTGAGAATAAAAGATAATGGTTATGTGACTAAATTAATGACACTGCCACAAGGAAAAATCAAGAAATATAAAGGAAGACAATGAGCCAGTGTCAAGTATATTTGGAAAAGGTGGCCACAAAAAAATTCAGCAAAAGCAACTGAATGCTGTAGATGAAGTCCCTCAAAGAGAAGAAAGTAAACGAGAAAAACCATAAGGAAACAAAATTGAGAATCCACAATTGCATGTGATAAATATAGTATTTGTTCTCCAGAAAAGTATAATAGAAAAGTCAAAAAGACACTGTTCAGATTCTCAAACATGTCTCGGACTATCAATCTTAACATATTCCATTTGACACATTCAATAATTATTTAGTGGTTTGGAGTTGAACATGCTTCATATCATGTAACGACTCACTCCTTTATCTAGACAAAGTAAATGTGTTTATCGTCAAAAGGTAAACTCTGAACGAGGAATGTCACAAAAGATAGCTGTATAATTTATCTTCTTTTGAAGAACATAATACTTGTTATTCCAAATATCTAGATAAATCCCATCAAGGAATACTAATATCTCAGAAAGTCATGTCTTCGAAATGAATTGATGACATCACTAGATATTAGCTACCATGTTTTCTGAGTAAAGATCAACCCCACAAAACTAAGAAACAAAATCAGTTTAACTACCTCATCGGCTTTTGTCACTTCCAAATAACTCCAAAAAATCCGGGTACTATAAGACAATTAAATTGATTACTCCTTGTTTTATAAAGTCGCATCCTTCTTACAACATCCTTTTGACCAAAAAATAAAGAATAGAATAGTAATATGTTTTTCCATCATTTTTTCACTTCTAACAATTCTCTTTCTGTCAGACGCCCACTTTACACCCATTTTGGTTTTCCCTCATCACTATGCATTCGTCTCTCTTTTATTTTCTTTCCTTAATATTCTCTTAAATAAAACTTCCTAAAGTTAATCCTTCAGGTTCCTAAAAACTACTGATGAAGTCATCTTCACAACATCCAATTCCTAGGAAGACCACATGTGGAGACCATGGCTCGCCTCATCGTGCCAACAAAGTATAGGGACCTGACCGGACCAGTATTACAAGAACATATCACTAGGAATCTCTAGGCAGTAAGCTTAACAAACATAAAATAAATATAGTGTTCTTTGACACTGTAGCTAGTGTTTGTATATTTTGGGCCAAAACGTTTAACTCATATGTATAAAGTGCACGGTATTAAGATGGTTAATCATAAGTAACCTAACCTTATGTTTGGTTTACCCAAGAAGCAAAATCAATCAACTGGATCAACCAGCTTGTAGCAGATCAGCCAATCGTCCTTGGCTTTGGGACTTTCACATTTCATATACATGTGCCAGTTCCTAAATGCATCAACTAAAAAAGAAAACAAACATATAATATCTCGGATAATTAACCTAGTCACCATTTGTGATAAATATTTAGAGAGAAGCTCAAGAGATTCAGCACCAAACATTAAAGAAGTTGGGAGTAACTAAGTTTGGACCATGTGAGGCAAGTTGAATACATCTTAGATGACTGATCCATGAGGGATTAATGGCAGTGAACACAAAGATTCTATACGGTCAAATGGTGTACAACAATGAAATAAGTTGTTTCTTTATGTCCTATGGATTTTATCTGAATGAAATCTTTGTGTTTCTTTGATGCGTGTTATATTACTTATTATAAAATTTATTAAAAATTATTTCAATATTTCATTTATGAGCAAAAACCAGAATAACAACATTAACTGCACACCATTCACGCCCATTGTTATATCTTCGCTGCGATTGGTAGGCTCTGTGAGCAATAGGTGGAATCTTGTAGGCCCATTACATTACACAAGTATGTTACACGAGCTATATGCATGAAAACCAAAACAAATCAGTCCTGATTAGACAACTGCAGGACAAAAACACAATGCTCCTGATGAAAAAAACAAGGGTTGAACTCTGATCTACTATGATCATCACTCACTGTTTGTCTCACAATATGATAACCTGCTGTGTTAACATAACTAACAAGGCAAAAATCTCAGGAAGGGCCAGAGACAGTGCAAGCCACTTGAGGGTACGCCCAAGCACAACTGTGTATACGACAGCCACTTCTGAATTAGGGGTGAAGACATACTATTGTCACAACATGTTTTCATGAATGCTTTAGATGACTTAAAGATGACAGCATCTACTTACACGCTCAATCCTCCACCAATACAAGGCATAGTTTAGTAGTTAAGATAGAACTTCATCTCTTATCTTCTATGGGGCAAGCCTGCCCTTCTACAGTCCCCACCCCACAATTCATTTTTCACTTTTGGTTTTCAGAAAATGTGTTAATATAGACGCAAGTATGCAATGATGAATCGGACTAATCTTCTAGTCCACAGAACACAGAAAGTGAACAATCACGGCTGCATAAGGATATCTAATGATCTCCAAAACTGCATCATCGAGCTAAATCAGGCAATTAAAATTCAGTTAATTTGCATAGCAGTATCCGCGTTACTTACCGATACCGATGATTAAAGAGAACAACCATTTGAGGACTACATAATATGAAACCCAGAGCTTTCCTCTCTGTGCCTGCAGAACCCAGAATAACCCAAGGATCGTGTGTTAACAAGACGATTTATCACAAATTCCTTTAATTCCACAACAACGAGAAACCAAGGGGATACGGAACCTGCGCTTCCCGGTAGGCGTAATTCTCGATCACCTCGTAGTCGAGGCTCTCAGCGCCACGGCTGTGGCTGGGTAACTCGATCTCGGTTCTCTCGCCCTCCTCGGAGCTGGGCAGGCGGGACCATACGAGTCGGGCCGTCTCGATCCCGTTCTGAAGGTGATTCGACAGCATGGGGATGGGATCAGATCCAAACGAACCGCTCGATTCGCAATAGATCTGATCCCACGAAGCGATCGGAACCGCTCCTCCGCTCGCCCTGCGAGAGCTGAAGGCGCAATCCGCGAAGCGAGAGGGTTTGGTGGTGGAAGGGCTACGCGGAAGGGTAAGAAGAGAGAAGGATATCCCTTGTTCCGGAGGAAGAAGGAAACAAGAAAAAGAAACTGCGGTAGAGTAGGAGAGCCGTCGATGGGCCAGGGAAAGGAGCGAAACGAGGTTTCCGGTCTGTGTCGCTGTAGTTGGTGACCGTCGACCACGAGTCACCGTTTCCCACTGCGTCCCGGAGTATTCCACGAATCCCACTTGACTCCATTTACGGGCACAGATGCCTAAAGAAGCGACTTATGGGCCGTCGGGAAAGGCGCACTGGATCTGAGTCACACACCGCCGATTCGTGACTTAAGTAGGACACAGAGTCGTAAAAGGGGACTTATTGGTCTTAACACCCCATTTAACAATCTATATTAAATTACGAGGGGGCCCTTAACACAAATCCCCTCCATTGGCATATTGGATCCATCTTTAGGGTGCAGCTGAGCCAAGCTTACAGCATGTTCAAGCTCGTCCCCATCAACCTTCGCCGATGGCAAATCCAAATGTCTGTCATTTTCTCCTCCACTTCGAAGCGTTGCACTTCATCCTCCCATCACCCTCTTCCCCCAGTTCATGGCAGCTTCGTCCGTCCCATCAAGCCCACGTCCAGACCCAAGCGATCTCTGTCTCGCCGGAGACATCGCAGGAGGCGGCTGAGGGGAAGGGCAGGAGGAATGATGTCAGGAAAGGAAGAGACGGTGGAGATTGCTGATGGACATGAATGGTGAGGCTGCGAATGACGTCACCAAAGCAGAAGGGGAACTGACTGGAAAGACGTAACGCTTGTGAGCTTCTCATTTGTTGCGTATGTCTACGTCTCCGAGAAGATTGGATCAGTCTACTGTGCTTGGTTGTCCACGGTCAGGTCAACCAAGCTTAGTTTGAAATAACACGAGCTTGAGCAAATTTCTGCAGCTTAGTACAGATTTCATGCAATCTAATCAACACACTAAAAAAAGAAAAGCAATTTACTCTTCCTCACTGGGAACGAAACCGAGTTGGGTGGACAGAAAACATGATTATTATGTATAACCTCTACGGATAAAACATTCTCCGAAGCATAGTAGCGCATGCTGAGATCTTCACCATCTCGCCTCCATTATTCTGAACTCCGTACTCATTTTCTCGGTCCGAGAGGAAAAATGTTATCGATGTTCTGCAACGGTGAGCGTCTGGTGAAATGGTTATGTGACTTGGGCTGATGGACGAGAACACGCATTTCCTCCTTGCACGAGTTGAGCGATCTCATCTGCTGGTTTTTAGCTCCCCTTCGTGACTCTGCAGTGCGTAGCTCCAAGTGCAGAGGGGGGGAGGCAGTGGGGGGATTCAGAAGCTTGCCTTTCGATGGCTGGAGCTCTTTCTGCAACTCCGACACAAGTTTCTCCAGCTCAATGACTTTGCGTTCGGATGATCGTGCCCTTTGCTTCCACTCGAGCTTCTGGATCAAAAGAGTTTAAGAGTTACAGCCAAGCTTTATCTGCATAAGACCACTCTTCTAAGTATAGAAGAGGAAAAGAAAAGCTCACTTGAGTATGCTGGGAATGGAAATTGATCTCAGATACAATTGCTCGTCGCTGCCAGTGGTCTCTAGAAGATCGAAGCTCTTCCATCTCTACCCTGACTTGTTCCAACATCTCCTGCATCTGACTCCATTGCTCCGACTCCGCCCTCACCTGCTGCATTATCCTCCCGACCGCCTCCTTGCAACTGCAGCAGCTCACTAGACCCATCTTCTCCTTCTCCCGCTGCAACCACAGAACCTGGAACTCCCAGTCAATATTGAGTCTTGTGAAACCTATATATATGCTTAAAGAATCAAAAACAGCTAAATTCTCTGGCAAGAAAACAGCTTAAAGAGTCAATATTCCCCTTTAAATTTGATCATAATTCTCAGTTATAAAGCTAGTGTAGCATGTACTCTGTAGCACACAAACTACCGACCATGCAAATTATCAACCTGGAACAAATTTGCTTGAATGTTTCTGGAAAGCAAGGAGAGGTCTATCACATCAAAATTATCTACGCAAGATGACCTCATGACGAGTGAGGCAAACTTTGGATCAGCAACATATTTATTGCTAATAAATTTTCCCTGCCAAATAGGACAAAGTTTGGGCAGCAGGTGGATGCATTCATGGCGAAGTGGACACAGTCTGAGCAACAGTCATCATAGCAGATACAGGGAGTGCCTTGCATTCACAGGTCCTAAAACAAAAGCTTTTACTAAAAGAATAATGATGGCATGCAAGTCGTTTGGTGCACGCACAGGTGATGTTTGGTGCACGCACAGATATCCATTAAGACCAGTACCGAATATGACTGACTTCTTCAACTGGGAACAAATCATTCAAGTAGAGGGAAAAAAAAGCTCAAGAATATTACCCTTCTGGTAGAGAAGATGAGGATATCAAATTGTGCGTAAATTGTATGAAGATGATTGATTGGACTAGTGAGGGGGACCATATTATGTTGGTGTTGCTCATCAAGTTTTGCATGAAGAATTCGTAGTGCATTGAGGTGCACCACTTTTCTGAGAAAACCAGTTACCTTCTTCTTGTGGCCTTTTGATACAGTGGCCAGAGTTTGACCCTTCGACCACTGTAGTGATTTAAGTTGTCGACCTAACAAGATTCTAAAACAAGCACCAAAACAATCCTAATGCAAACCAAACAAGAAAGGAACATGAGACATGAACAACAGATGAACATGAGACATGAACATCATTACATCCCTACATCATTTGGAAGGAAATTAAAATCAATCAAATTAAACAGGTCTAACAGAAGTTAGGGCAAGTCAGTATATGCTTCCTGAACATTAAAAAACAAGTAACAAAACACATACCACTAGAAGCCTTTCTCAATAATATCATGTCTGATAATAATTGGACAAACAGCTGAGGCAGAGTTGTAGTTTTTCCTAACACAATTTGTGAGATGTATATGAAAAAGAGTGTGATCTCTTTCCAATAAGAACAAGATATCCCAAAGTTATGAAAGACTTCAATTAGCAACATCAACCATCATTATGTAAAAAGAGATTTACTTAACAATTCTATGTATCAGTTTCCATCTGTTCCTGTGCCAAGACAGGAAAGATTCCATGTGATTGTCATACACAGAGCACAGAATCAGTCACTTGGAACTCATCACATAATTCAATTTTGAGAGTACTGTGGTTGAATCAGGTCATATCATCTTAAGTCTTGTTTCGGTTAGGAATTGAAAGTTTTGGCATAAGCTGAAGCTCTACGGAATAGTTTTTAAATTTGATTCATAAGTTCAAGTAGTCAACTGCAAAGAAAATTGAAAAAGTCAACACATTCTTTGTTCTGGAATATAAGGAAAGAGTGATGGCTTTGAAAATTTAAATTGAAGCAATTCTAGATATGGCTATAAAATGGATAGCATTAATGAGAAATGTATTTAATACAATCGCTTTCACTAGTGATAAGTGGTCCTGATAAATAGGACCACCAAGCATTTCTCTTAGGAACATGGCCAAGCTATACCTGGTGCATAAGGGCAACATAACTAAGAATTGTACTTGAGTTTGATGTTTTTTGCTTCCATAATTTGGTAAATGTTGTTCCTGTTTTTGTTTTCTGAAAGTACTTCTTCCCATGGAACTTCGGGAAGTAGAAAATATTTACTTCCAGAATTCTTGTAACTTTCTGTTCTTTGGACTCTTTCAGTCCTAGAGCAGAATTTGTCACCATTCCTCAGATGTCAACAAGTATAATATAATTTACTGCACAAGGTAAGCCAATGAATCTTAAAATGAATGCTAGTGTAGTGATTAGGCTGAACAGGGATATTTGACCATGCCATAAGGATTTCTCCTAATATTCCCTTTGCCTGATCAACCTTTGTTTGCTTTGAATAATCAATATGTAGAGCAATTATGTATCTCTAACTTGCACATCTAAGTTCATTCTCCATGGCATGTTGTGTGTGTCCGAAAGCAGATGATATGGGTTCGAAATCTCACCAGCTTCTCCTGCGGGGGCTGCTGCTTCTGCCGGAGATGAAGGAAGGAGTTGCCTGCTGCTTCACTGTATGCAACAATGTTGTGTCTGCTGCTAATGGCGCTACTGTTGTTTCTGTTGTTGGCGGAGAGCAAGTAGCTGCACTCCTCCATTCTTTCCAACATCCCCCTGGACATCCCCTCCATCTTCCTCCTCAGCTTCTCCATCTTTTCTCATCCCCGGTTCCAAAAAAAACAGACATATCGATGCATGAAAAATAGTCACAAAAGTAAATATCAAGTATGATCTGAAAGGAAGTAAAGATTACTACATCGTCGGGGAACTGGCGACCATGATTCGAATCAGGAGTAGCACTCTCCGCTTGTTCTGGCTGTTCAGCTTCTGGATCCTTCTTTGGCAAGGATGGCAAGGAAATCTCTTTTATGTCCTTCACGCTGGTGTCTTCCGTCATCTTCTCCAGCTTGCGTCGAAGCACCGACGCCCGCCGGTCAAAGTTCCCTCTGCAACTCCTCCGAAGCAGCTTGCGGGAGCTTCTTCTTCTCCTGCTGTCACTGCTCCCGAACTTGAACTGCTCCAGCTTCTCCTTCAGCTGCTCGATCCCCTCGTCTAGCGCCGCCCCTACGCCATCGCTCCCGTCGATCTTCTTCCTCCCCTGATCAGTTTCCATCAATGTCCAGCAGCATGATCGGAAGAGTCAAATAGAAAGCCATGGAATCGAGATCAATCAGAACACACCGAGACTAGGCTCTCCATGGCGGATTTCAGTGCGTCTCCCATTTGAGCACGGTTCCTCTCCAGCTTCCGCTGCGCCACCTCCCGCTCCATCCTCAAGAAGTTACACTCGGCGCGAAGGATCTCCGCCTGGAACCGCCACCCATCCTCGGCCCCGGAAACTCCCACGCTCTCGCCCGAGGAGCACGACGGCGCCGGCTCCGGTGGCCTCGCACTGCGCTCCTCGTCCAGTAGATCGCCGAGATTCCGGCATAATCCCGGCTTCGGCGGAGCGGACGCCCGCGTCTGCCTCCATCGTCGGGGCAGGTTGAGAATCACCGGGGCCGGCGGTAGTGCCGGCTTCCACCGTCCGTTCCTCGCCGCCATTCGTTCTCCAACTCCGTGTGTTCGCTATGAAACGATAAGTGGAAGCGGTTTTCAGGAAAGTGAAGCTACGGAAAGCAAGCGACGGCCGAAGACATCGCTGCGGAACACCAGAGTGTGCTTCGTTTTCCGCGAAGAGCAGTTCGATTTGAAATGGACCTCTCACGCCACCCGAAATGACCAAACCGCCCCCCATCTCGAATGATCACCACCTCGATGGCCCAATGATGAGAACGGCTGCTCCGAACGGGAGTGGCAGAATGGAAGCTAAGAAGCATCTTTCAGGGCAAAATCGTGAAATCGCTTCGCATCATTGATGTACCGATAATTCCATGCAGGGATAAGACACCCAAATCACTCCGCCCAAAACTGCCTCGTACCACCGCGACACACGTGGCATCACGTGAGCAACCGATGAGGGCGTCTCGTGATTCGCTCTGGGCAGGCGATGGCGTTCTGCACGAGACCAGGCCGCGCGACTGATCCCACGATGTCATCCAATCGCCTTACAGGTACGAGCGAGTGTTTGTACAAAATGTCGGAAAATGTGCTGCTTTAATATTTGCGCCGTCGACGAGGAGGCTGCAATCGATTTAACTTAATTAACCACACTAAGTTCAAACTGTGAGCAGAAACGCGTGTCCTCTTGTCTTGTTTGGGTTATACGCGATCTCGTGGTCTGCTGCACGAGATGCTTTCGTCGGTCACGTCGAACCCAAGGCAAGAGTTAATTAGTGCCCTAATTAACACGAGGAGAGCGAATTGAAATGGAAATTGGAATTGGGAAAGAGAGAGAGAGAGAGAGAGAGAGGACGGCAAGAGTCAGAGAACAGAACATCTTCTCTTACAGGTCTTATTATTATTATTATTAGTCTAATTGCTATGCTATTATCGTTACTCGTGGAGCGAGTTCATGCAGAACCTAGGCGAATCCGAGTCCCAGAGTGCCTTGATAATGACAGTGACATAATGTTTAGCTTCAGAAATGTCAGCTTCTTGGGTAATAAACTACATCTAAGAACTTGGTAATTAGTAGAAATCATACGTTTAGCATGTCATCGAGGACCTGAGACCTAATGCTAAGCACACATTGCAGTTTATGAGGAGTTTCCACTCCTCAGCAGCAGCCATACCTCTCACAGTGATATGTGAAAATTGAATGCATGAGACAGCTAGACGACAAGTCCAATGCGGAAGACAACCGGTTAGGTGAAGCCACATTTATTCCTCTCCATCTACTCACCAAAGCCAGACAAGAGGAGAGTGACGATAGTTATAGTGTGATGTAAAGAGACAAGAGTACGAGAGGCTCTTCCAGGTAGAAATGGCTGATGTGAAGCTTGGAAGGCGCCGCACGAGTTGGCAGTGAGCTTTAATGTCCTGCGCGCTGTCTTCACTTATGTCCTGCCTTACTAAATGTATACTGATCACTGATTCCAGTTCGTAGCTGCAGATAGCAAGACCTGCGCCACTGCTGTATCCCAATAAATGCACGCCATGGCATTCAAACGTATCAGCAAGCGAGTAGTTTCCCGCTCCTCGACAGCTCGACCTTCTACAACCCTTCGCGTGGGCTGTGCAGTGTCTCATCTGGGTTCTTCAGCTACGTGAGGGAAGGGTGTAAAGCATCACTGTAACTGAGCATGGATTCCAGTTTGCAGGTGCTGATGGAATAGCCTCCTCAACTCCCTTGTCGTCTCTTCGCTTGCAGACAGGGCAACTCTTCCAATGTGACTGGGTGAAGTCGACTCGATTTGGGTTGAATACAGACCTCTTCCTGATCTCATGTTATCCACCACGTGTATGGAAGTCATTGGAGCGGTCATGCCCCTTCGGATAAGATGGACGAATGGCACCTCACGATCTCCTGCGCGCACTCCTTATTACGAGCGTGAGTTGGAATTGCATGTGTGCGAGGTAGACATGGCATCATCACTCCCCATAACGGCTTCCTTCCTCGGCGGTGTCAGCGTCGGTGACCGTCCCTCGATTGGCCGCCGGCGGAGCCTCGTGGTGGCCAAGGCTGCCACCCACGTCAAAGACACCGAACGTCGTGATGGCGGCGAGAACAACGGCCGGAGGGCGGTGATGTTCGCGGCTGCTGCGGCCGTGGTGTGTGGCATCGGCCAGGGGATCGCGACGGCAGATGAGGAGCCTAAGCGGGGGACGTTGGAGGCGAAGAAGAAGTACGCCCCGATATGCGTGACCATGCCGACGGCGAGGATCTGTCACCAGTGAGGCTCTTCCGTCCACCGTCTTCTCCGGTGGTAGCTGGCCGGATGGAGGCATGTTAATTTGCACAAGTATATGATGTATGTTTTGCTCTGTCAATTGAGCTACACTACTCTTTATGTGTTGATCTATCTACCCAGACTTTGCTGTTATCATTTGGTGGTCGATCAGCGAAGGAAAGGCTACGTGCGGCGTTGCAATTCTTTCTTACTAGAGCGCTTGTCGAGACGATTTATGGGTGGATAATCTTACCGACATTCGAATTCTCCTTCTAATATTAAAATATTAATAATTTAATATCATAAACTAGGAATCGATACAACTTGGTCATATCCCAAAGAAACAAAATCATCTAAGAATATCCTCCCATGGGTGAGGTGAGAGACAAGAGTTGAATAGTAGCATGTAAGAATTACTTCGATATGGTCTGAACTTTTGGGATTATTCCAAGATGGGGTTTGAGTGAGCTTGATCTCTTCAGTCAATGTCCCTAATAGCAGATAAGATTTCCTCAATTATATGAGGAAATCTTTTTACTCTGTTGAGAGAAATCCTCTATTCTGTTAAGAAGCAAGCTCTCTTAGTGGCAAAAGAAAAGGCTTTCTACTATTGCTTTTTCGTCATCAGGTCGTCAGTGCGTCTTCTCCACTGTAACTCTACGCCAATGCTCATTCCCTTCCATTGTGGCACTGCCTCACCTTTCCTCGTCTGTTGTAGCCTTCTTCTCTATTGTAGCATTGTTGCAGCTTCCTCCTCTGTTACAGCTTTCTCTTCTGTTGTATCTCTATTACATCCTCCTCTACTACAACTTACTCCTCTATTGCTGTTTATTCCTCTATTGCTGTTTATTCCTCTGTTACAACTTTCTCCTCTATTGCAGCTTATTCCTCTACTACAGCATTTATAGCTTTTTTCCATTGTTGTAGCTTTCTCATGCAGCCATCATCATCGCAGCTGCACAATAGCAATAGCAACAACAGCAGCAACGATCTACTCCTCTAACGCTTGGATTAGTTTTGAGTGGGGACTATAACCTTTTTGGGGTTCAGAATTCGATCCTTATTCAAGCATCAAGGACCTATAAAGCCTTTAGGATAGGACTACGATCGATAGGGACTATATGTGGACAATCGCCTAGTATGACTTCCAACGATGCGGGTCAACTAATACGATCTCCTAAAGCGCAAGTCAACTAATATGATCTTTTATGATGCGATGTCGAGTCATATGCTCCCCTATGGTGCGCTAGCAAAAGATGGTTGAGAGGGTGTCAGTTATCAACCTAATCATCTTCTATGTTAGGTAAATGCCCCGTTGTCTTCCACATCAACTCTTTGAAGGCTGTTAACTGATGGATCATAATTGATATTGAAATATTCCATATCAATATCTTATGTCCACCGGTGATCTCAACTCTACCTATTAATTGGTCAGCTCACTTAGATCGTACTCACGTGACGAATTTAAATAGAAAAATATGTGCACGGATTTAAATGGATTATTTTCGAATGAATTAAACATCAAGTTTGAGTTATGTTCAAATTAGAAGACATTCGAGTCAAAGTTGGCTTTGGATATACGGCAGTGAATCACGAACATCGTAAGAATTCAATTGACCCTTTCTTACCTTTCATAAGAATTCTTCTAAAGTATTTATATACGTTATAGCAATACTAAATGCTTCCATCAGAATCAAATTATTATCATTATTATTATTATTATTATTACATAAACATAAAAAAGATAAAACAAATATTCGAATGTTTCATAAGGAATTTAAAATAGACGAATTTACACTTAATCAACAATCCATACATCTTATTTGTTGGACGAAAGAAAATGCTAATGAGTCCATCTTAGATAACTCTCATGCAATAAAAATAAAATGACTTCACTGGATAAATTTATAATATCAATAAAAATAAAAATCTTCTAATCGTAAGGTTTTGGTAAAATCACACTTTCATCACTTACTTTTATAAAAAAAATATAACAATAATAATTTGATAAATTTTATAATATAAATAAAAGAAAATCTCTTGCTCTCATGTTCATTGAACTCTCATGATTTTTAGATAAGCGTCAAGAATTGGCTGCAAGAAAAATGATCTCATAAATGTTCATCAACCTGATCAAACTCGAGCCGAGTTTACATTTAAACTTCATAACCCAAATTAGTTCATCTGTGTGGGACTCATATTAGGACAACATAGGCACAATCCTAAATCAACTGGCCCCAAGGAAGTCTTGCAATCAAGAGCAATAGCAAAAGAAGAGAGAAGGAGAAGAGCAAATTCGTAGCCTTCATTCTTCCAATTGTATAGCTATCTTTCATCTTCCTATCCCCCAACCTTTAGTAGTGGCATTGTAATAGAGAACCAACCAAAGTTTTAGTCGTCACTAGTAATTTACTAATGCCAAGAGCCAAAGAAGAAGAGGAGAAGGTGCTATCGAGTTCCTCTTCTAGTTGTAGCCCATTATTCCTTAAATTTCAACAACCAAGCATTGTTCAACTCTTTGGAAAGTCTAGAAGCCTTTCTATTTATTGTTCAAATCTCATGAGGAGATTCTAGCAATAAAAGAGGAGACCAAAAACTATTAGTAAGTTCCTTTTGCCAATAACACTAAGGTATTATCGATAAATAACATGCATTCTTAGTTGAATCTTTTCACGTCTTTATTTTTATTATTTAGTCTCTTAACACTTTTGAATTTAAGACAATAGAGATTAATTTTATTTTAGTTTTACATTCGATTTATAGTGATATCTTTCTCCTCTACTAAAATTTTTCATCTAAAGGTGATATCAAATCGACCAATTATCAAATCTGAATTTTATATAAATAAATAGTAATAATAGATATATACATTTGGGGTAGTATACCAAATATTTTATAGGATAATGTGTATATATCTATATATATAATGTTTAAATTATACAAGAAAATTAATTTTTAAAAAATTATCATTTTTCAGAAGATAGGTAAAAATTGGCTTTGAGGCAAAGATTCACTTACTTAGGGAAATATACAATGACTTTCTTGGCCACCATTGATTTAGAAACTAAAATAAATTATTTATATTTTTTGTAAGGAGGTCACTTTCGAAGATATGGAATATTTTGTCATGTTCTTTCTCGGTGGAGTTATCATCATGTTTATATTGTTTAGTTTTAATTAAAAAAAATAAAACTAAATTGGGGCTTACTATTTTTTCATTCAAAATTGATCATTGGACCCAATAATATGGTGCAACCTCTATGATCAACATTCGCAAATCTTCCATCGTCAATTATGGGCAAAGAAGGAGGAGGAGATAGTCCAACCAAGTTCCCAACCTCGATTGCTTAGTGGGTTCGACGGAAGGGAACAATTGATGTGATGGAGGGGGGGCGAACAACAAAGCGAAGGGTAGTAGCCGACGGGAGTAGTATGATAATTTCGAAAAAAAAAAAAGCTTCATGAAATTCTTTTAAAGTTGGGGTGCTATTTGAAAAATTCTCAAACTTATATTTTAAAAAAATCATCATCATATATATAAATATATAATTTTAAAAAAAAAATTTAATTATCATTTTTAGATTAAGGTGGGTAAAAATTGGCCTTGAGGGGAAGATAAGAGTTGTTCCAAAAGTCTAGCAAAATACATGAACTTTTGGAGAACAACATTAATTTTAAAACTGAGATAAATGATTAATATTCTTTGTAAGGAGGCATCCCTCTCTTTCGAAGTTATGGGATATTTCGTCGAGTTCTTCGTGATCATAATTCTTGTATTGATTAGTTTTTATATAAAAAAAATCAAACTAAATTAAGATTTTTGTTTTTTCATCAAATTGATCAAACATAATTCCATCAAGTCGGACACAATCGATGTCTCACGAGTCCAACTGCCATCGGTCACTTTCCGTCTTTCACTGTCAATAGAAATATTGCATGTGACGTATAATGCATAGTGAACGATCAAATACGACGTTCCGATTTCGATTAGAATAAAAGAACTATATTTTGAGTAGGAAGTCGTCAACACATCCCTTCGGCTTGAATCAATACGGTACTTCTCTCGTCCCGCTGAAGTCGCGTATGAATCGGTCAAGTCTGGCGTACAAATGCATGTTGGAGCGCAGGCGAAGAGGGACACGTTGGTCATCACGAACTCCGTTAGATTTCCGACGAGCGAGGAGAAACGATCGCGTGTTTCTTGTGATGCTGTTTTGACTATTACAACCCAAGAAAGAAGGCGGATTTTGCTTCTCGTTTGGCTTCTTTTTCTCGTTGTTGTCGTGAGGAGCTGGTGGGAGGGAGGGGAGAAGAGAGTCGGAAGCTTTGACCCTCTCTTCTCACGACATTGGGCTCATTCGACCCTCCTGCTCTTGATTGGAATTCGAAATCTTTTGTTCCAATCCGTTTGTTTTCTTCTCGCGCGGTCCCTTTGTTTGACTCCTTACCTCGTAAAAATTCGTACTTTGCCCCTGTTGCCGTTCGAGTTGAGAGAATCCGAGAGGGGAGGAGATAACAGAGGGGTGCGGAAGCTCGGATTCTCGTTTTTGGAAGAAGAACGGAGGAAAGAAGCAGGCGAATTGAGACAAGGAAAGAAAAACACAAGGGTTCCAGTTCTCGTTTCTCTTGTCTTCGTTCCATTCAATTCGAGGAGTTCCGTATTCGTTTAGATATCCCAAACGGTCTCTAATTTGGAGAGGCATTTTGGTTCCCATACGTTCTCTTGGAATTTCAAGCTGTCGAGCTTGATCGCTTATTTTTGGTTGGTAAAAGACCAATTTTTTGTCATCCCTATCGGATTTTTTGGATTTTTCTCCTTGGGAAAGATTCAATCTTGCCGCGGCTTGCGTTGGTTCTCAAGGACTCCTTTCAGTTAATCCTTCGAGAAAACCGCGAAAGGTTGGATCTTGGTCCGAAAATCCACTAAATCCAATGGGGAATTGCTGCGCCGTCCCCGTTGATCCGGAGACGACGACGACGAAGAATAAGAAGAAGGAGAAGAGGCAGAACCCTTTCTCTATCAGTTACCTCCGCGGACCCGCACCCACCCTCGTCGTCCTCAAGGAACCCACCGGCCGGGACATCGAGAGCCGGTACGATCTCGGCCAGGAGCTCGGCCGCGGGGAGTTCGGCGTCACATGCCTCTGCACCGA